CCCCAAAACCCCAAAACCCCAAAACCCCAAAACCCCAAAACCCCAAGAATTTGGGAACTTGTAATAAAGTAATATTTAGAAATGGAAATCATCCAAGCGTTGGTGGAGAGATGCCAAAAGAAGCTCAGAATATTAGAAAGGCTTAAAGATTTGGTATATAATTTAATCTCACTCTACTAGACACCCCTCAAGCTCTACAATAAAATAAACGACAGTTGTAATTTGTGAGAAATTGATCCAGATGCTGAAAAAGTAGGCTAGTAATGATTCTCACTATACTCAGATTTGTAAACACTAATTTAGATTTTCTCAGACAACAAGAAGTTGCTATCAACTATCTCTGAAGAGTACAGCAAACACAGACTGAAGGTAATCAGAACGAACTGGAAGTATATCATCGCCATCATGAAGATCATTTTTGCAACCTTGTTCACAATTTTTATGTTTGAAGATTACGGACAAAGTCAATTTAGACGAATCTGAATGTTCTTAATGTTCTGGTTCAGCTTCCTGTTGGAGTACTTGATCTATCGTTACAAGTTCTTTGCAAGAAATGGAGCTGTTTTGATTATTGTAATACTCGGACTGATGATTACAAAAACGAACATTTCCTTGACTGAGTTCAGGTAAGACTTATCAATAAATTTGTCTTCACCTAAATTGATGCCTAATAACATACAGTTTGAATACTTCATACAATCAATAATACTAGTACAAGACCTCCTTTCGATTTCTTCGTAGAAATGATTGAAATCATTTCTAACATTCGGAAGTTTTATTCTCTTCATGGCATCAACTATATATATTTTTACTTATTATCTTCGTAGTTCATCTTTATCTTCCAGCTGCTTTTGACTATTTTTTCTCTTATAATAGAAGCATCTCTCGAGAGGAGTTAAGTAGGGAAAATGGATCGAGGAATGTAAATTTGGTATCAAATTTTCTTGAGATCTATAATTTAAGTAGCAATGGGGGTTAGGAAGTTCCTAATTGATACTATTGTTTGGTTGAGGTAAAATTTATTGTTGTCTGCGAGTTAACTATCCAAGATTATTAGAAATACTCTAAGACCTAGAATTTTGGTTTTTGACGAGGAGACTGCTGGAGTTTATGTCCTCTTAATCTATACAAAATAATAGTTTGCTCTTTTCTTTAAAATTTTATCAACCCTTAGACACTTGCTTAATAGGTTCTAACCTTTGATATAGGCTATACGAAGGGTTCATTTTCCATATTTCCTGTTGCTTCCTGCTATCCACCTGCATTGTATCAGATTGGAAGATCTCTTCAATTGCAGTAATCTTGGTTTACTCCAATCTGTACTTCCTGCTGCACTTATATTTTGATGATGTTGGTGTTAAGGTAAAGTACTGCATCATCTTGGCAATGTTTTGATTCGCTTGTAACGCTTTCTTGACAGCTAAGGCTTTCAGGAAGGAGTTTATGTCCACTTTTATGTCCAAGCATGTATCCTTCCAGTTCAAAAGGGTTCTACAATGCCTCCCTGAAGGTGTTACTATTATTAACGAAGCTGGTGACGAACTCAAATTTGTAAACCAGAAACTCAAGAGCACTTTTAATTTAGATACTTTTTACAAAGCAGAGAGCACAATTGAAGGCTTGGAGATGATCAAGAAGAAGATAGACCACGATTTTGACAAGCTAGTAACTAAAGCCAACTCTGACTCCCTAGGCTTTAAAGATACTCAGAACTTTGAGCAAAATATTTTGAGAAAATTCATGGCTCGGATTAAAAGTAAGAAGGTTGAAGAAGAAAAAGAGCCTGGCTCGGTTATTTTAGAAGAAAAGTTTGATGAAATTTTACTCCCCAAGTTCTTAGAAGAAGAGAGAGACCTCTGCCTTGTGACTGAGGATAATGATAGAAGCACCAAAGTCTCTATTAAGTATTATACTAACCATTTGGACCATCAAGTGGAGTATTTATATAGAGATTTCATTGTCAGGACTTCGAAGATCAATATGATCAATGAAAAGGATGGTAGTCCAACGTTTCTTCAGATGTTCATTGACACCACTCAAATCACTTTGTTAGAGGAAGCAAGGGCTCAGAGCAATTATCAGAAACAGATGCTGTCCAACGTCTCTCATGAATTCAGGACACCTCTGAATGCAATGTCGATCTCTCTCCATTTGATGAAAGACTATTTAGAAGAAAGCTGAGCAAAGTATCACAAGATCGCCTCATCTTCGTGAGATATGCTCAAAGGTCTGGTCGAAGATATCTTAGATTTCTCGAAGATCGAAGCAGGAGTGTTTGAGACTGAAAGAATCAAATTCACATTTGACGAACTTTTTGATGAAATAAATTCTATGTTTGAGATACAGACTAGAATGAAGCATCTAGATTTCGTCTTTGAAGCTGATGAATCTCTACTGCAGTTAAATGTGAAGTCTGATAAGCAGAGATTGAAGCAAATTTTGATGAATTTAGTTTCTAATTCTATAAAGTTCACTGACAGAGGGAGTATAAAGATTGAGCTGAGGATTTTGGCTCCAGAATCACGCTTATTGGCAGTCCTAGTTGAAAACGAGGGTAAGTCTAACTTCTAAATTCTAGATGAGTTAGATATGAACTTAGCATCAGAGCTCATTGATGAACTTCCTGTGTGTGGTATTCTATTCGGAAACGAAAAATACAACTTCAATACAAGACCTTCTCGGTTTAATGACATGAAGAAGAGTGTCAGGAGACATATCAGAGAATCTCATCAAATAAGTGAGATGCGAAAATTCAGCAGTAAGTTATTTTTATATGAGCTAGATAAAATTTAGACCTTATGTCCGAAATCAGTCAGAGAAAACCTGATAAAGAAGATCTAAAAGGATTTAAGAAAGAACTTAAGCTCGAGATGAGTGTGATAGATACAGGCATTGGCATTCCTGAGGAAGATCAACCTTCTTTATTCACATTGTTTGGAAAGACAAGTTCTAACCATGATAGAAATAAGACTGGTACTGGTCTCGGACTCACAATATGTAAGAAATTATGTGAAAAACTTGGAGGCAAGATCAGTTTATCCTCAAAAGAGGGATTCGGAACAAAAGTTACATGAAAATTTATTTGTTTCTATTAGACATTTTTATAATCTCGTTTTCTCAATGATTTTATTGTAAACCGGGGTTTTGGGGTTTTGGGGTTTTGGGGTTTTGGGGTTTTGGGGTTTTGGGG